CAGGGAAAACCAGAAACCATTCTCAGGTGACCTGCGTAAGACATCTCCACATCCACCCCCACATGGCAGGGGTGCCTCTAGTCTGAATCCCTCAAATGGGGCATTCTGAGCCCAGAGAGGCTGTGTGATGTGCCCAAGGTCACAGATGTAGGGTATGAGTATGAGGGCCAAGATGAGCGCCAGGTCTCTTCCCCCTGAGTCCCTAGGCCCCTGCCTCTAGGGACCCAAACAAGAGAGCTCTGTCTCTCCCTTTCGGCTGAGAAACAGCCAGCTCAGCCTTCTATAGTCACTGGTGGGACAGAGGAAGACGCCCCAAACCTAGCTGGGTTCCATGAACAGAGTTAGAGCGTGGCCTATAGTTCCTAAATAATTCTCCAGGGTTGAGCCCAGACAGGTGAGGTGCTTTGCCCAAGGCCACACAACATGTGCCCTGGGCATGTTACTTAACTACCCTACTACCAGAAGCATCTTACCAGGAAATTAAGGGATAATAATAATGAGAATAATAAGAAGAACTTGAGAAGTTATTGTGTGCCAGGATTGTACTAAGGGCTTTACATGCATTAATTCATTCAATCTTATTACGAGCTTCCTTATATAGATGTGACGCAAAAAAGGTTAAATAACTTGCCAGAGATCACATAGTTAGGGAGAGGTCTGTGGATCTGAGAATGAGACAGAGTAGATGGGGGTGAGGGGCAGGAAAATGGGCATCACTGACAGATCTACTCAGCTCAATGCAGAAGATGTCTTTAGAGCATCCCAACCTTCATCCTTACCGATCAAATTCAGAGAGGCTAAACAACCTGGCCAAGGTCACAAAGCAAGCCTCCTCTTAATATCCCCACCCTGCCCTCACAGCCCATGCTAAACTCCACAGCTGCTGGGTGTCAGGTCTGGTCCCACAAATTCCTGTCTTTAGGCAGATGAGCAACCTTTGTTGGAGGTACCCTTATCCTATATGATAAAAGGCTAATATGCAAATCGACCAAACAGCAGAATGACCAGTCACTAAGACATGCACTGACGACCAGGGGGCAGACACTCAATGCAGGAGCTGCCCCCTGGCGGTCAGTGAGCTCCCACAGGGGGAGCACTGCTCAGCCAGAAGCTGAGCTCACAGCTGGTGAGCACAGTGGCGGTGGTGAGAGCCTCAGTGCTGAGGATGTCTGACTGACAGCTTAGGCCCACTCCTGTGGGGAGCAGGCCTACGCCATCAGGCAGTCAGACATCCCCTGAGGGCTCCTGGACTGCGAGAAGGGGCAGGTGGGGCTAAGAGACAGTGCATGAATTTTGTGCACCAGGCCTCTAGTTTCTATACAAAGAGCCTCCATGAGATAGGATTAAGATGCTGCAATGCTAAAGGCTGCCACCAGATGGCAATGCCTACAGAGAGCCTAGCTTGGGTGGAAACTACTACTCATCAGAAGTTTTCTCATCAGAACTTGAGGTAGAAATCACACATTCTGGATGAGGAAACAGAGAGGAGCAGCAAGATACATCCATGCAGATGCCAAGAAAACTGCAGCACAGAAACATCTCTGGGGAACTGTTATTATTATTCAACAAAAATGGCCAACATGTATTATGGCTTTGCAATGTGCCAGGCACTGGGTTGGAATCCTAACTCTAAGTTACTAGTTGTGTGACCCTGGGAATGTTTCTTTTTTTCTATTTTATTTTTTTGGGGAAAAAATATTTTATTTTTCAGAGAGGAAGAGAGAGGGATAGAGAGTTAGATTTTTCACAGAGAGGAATAGAGAGTTAGAAACATCAATGAAAGAGAAACATTGGTCAGCTGCCTCTTGCACACACCCCCACTGGGGATGTGCCCGCAACCAAGGTACTTGCCCTTGACCGGAATCGAACCCAGGACCTTTCAGTCCGCAGGCCGATGCTCTATCCACTGAGCCAAACCGGTTTTGGCTGGGAATGTTAATTAACTGCCTTGTGCCTCAGTTTCTTCATCTGTAAGATGGCAGCAACCTTAGAGTCATGAGGGTAGAATGCATTCATGTGTGTAAGGCCCTTAAAATAGTGTCTTGACACATAAGTACTCTAGGAAGTATTGGTTATTATTTGCTTTTCATTTATTGTTTACTGTATGAATTAGATGCTTTTATTATCATCATTTTACAGCTAGGAAAACTGAGGCACAGAGAGGTCAAGTAGTTTGTCCAAAATCACACAGCTCTGAATAGTAATGCTAAAACTCAATCCAGGCAGTCTGGCAATAAAGTGTACACTTAATCAGTACGCCCTCCTCCACTCATAAGAAAACATGCAAAGCACTGGTCACATGGTCAGCAACCCCCTCCAAATAGTTTGTATTCTATCCCCAAATCCAAAGAAAGGATCTAAGGCACAGAAGGACACGTGACTTACGCAAGGTAACCCAGCTAGAATCTATATAGGGAATCAAGTCATCCCAAAACCAGGCAGACAGAACAGCCTGCAGCAGACCCTGCTGGGCTGGCCTGGCAAACCTTCATCGCCCGTTCCACAAATACTGAGTGCCCGCTAGCTCTGGTCCTACTTATAGGAAGTGAACAATCCAGCCACAGCCCCTTCCTCGGGGACCTCCCAAGGTAAGGGAAACTGGGAGCATGCAGTGAATGATACTCCTTGCTCCACCCCTTAAGCAAGTACCATCACCACTCTGCACCTCAGTTTCCTTATCTGTAATACAAGAATTTTTGTGATGATTCAATTAGGTGGGTGATGGAAATGAAGCACTTAGCCCAGAGCCTGGCATACAGAAAATGCTTAATAAACAGAAGCAATTATTATTACCATCAATAAGTACAATAGGAAAAATACTAAAGGAAAAGAAGGGGATCTCGGAGTGCCCAACAGATATTTAACTCGGTCTGAAACAATATTCCCTGAACATCTGGGAGCTTGAATACCGGGCCTGATTCCTGGAGTAGGATCCAGACTGAAGGCATAAAAGAAGGGGTGGGGGAGGGGGAGAGAATAGGATGCTGAGAGGCTAGGCAAACCTCCCCCAATTAAAAAACTGCTACCTACCACTACAGCCCTGTCTGCATCTGACCACACAGCCCCTCCCTACTGAGTCCTCCACCGCCACCACCCCAGTCACACCCGTGTGCAGAGGGTCCCGTGCAAGCAGTTGAAGGGACAGAGGAAACCATAAGGACACATTCTCTCTTCAGGGCTGGCAGACAGTCGGCACAGATTCCACTCTGTGACCATCCTAAGCGCCAGATGAGAGGTAAAGGGAGCTAAACTCCACTGTTCCCTGGAATCAGAGGACAGTGGAAACGTCTGGTAATTTAGTACCAGGATGATAAGCGTGAACATGTCTGCCAAAAACTCTCCTGGGAGCCCAAGCCCCAGGGTCCTTGGGGAGGGGGCTAAGACCAGGGTAGGTAGGCCCTGGGAGGCAGAGACAAACTGGGGTGGCCCATGCCCTTGGGAAACCCCTGTGGAATCCCCTGGGAGAGCCCTAGCCTGCACACTCACCAATCCCTCAAACCCACGTGCACAGGATTTCTGGTACAACTCTGGAGAGGTGAGAGGAGGCGGCGGAGCTGAATTCTCACAGAGGGACATCAGATGGCCTCCAGTGGAGCAAAGTAGACTCTAGAGCAAGTGCAAGGAAGTCCCCTCCCTAGAGCCCTTATTACAGGCCATGCACCTTACATCCTCCAGAAACCCTGAGGTGGGGCTGGGGGCATAACAGGGTTGTGACTCATTCGCACAACATCTATGTGTCACACACCTCGTTTGAGGCAGGCACAGTCTGGGCACACAGAGCCAGCCCTGGGAAGCTCATGGTCTGGTGGGAAGGCAGACAATTAAAGAATCATCAGTGAAATCACTTTTTAACCAACTAAAATGCATACCTGCCAGTATAATAGCTAACATTTATATAGCAATTACTGTGTGCTCCCTTCCTCTCAGTTGCCTTCCACGTAGAATGGGGATTTTAAGAGTTCATACTTGGTAGGGTGTGTGACGATGAAATGGTTGACGTGGGGAAAGCATCAAGGCAGAACCTGGCACACAGTAGGAGCTTCATACACGTTTCCAGTCGTCATTTTATTCGGTGCTTCCAAACCTTGGGAAGGAGTATCCAATTATAAGCTCCATTTTATAGGTGAGGAAACAGACCCTGAGAAGGTATAGGGCCGGAATGGCAAAATAATGTCAGAAGACAGAAAGCATAAACTTTATTTTTTCCCCATTTTTTTTATTAAGGTATTATATGTGTACATATCTTACCAATTCCTCCCCCCTCCCCCACTCACATACATGCCCTCCCTTCCCAGAGTTTTGCTTCTATTGGTTATGCTGCCATATGCATGCATACAAGTCCTTTGGTTGATCTCTTATCTCCCCCATATCTCCCTACCCCCTACGAAAGCATAAACTTTAGTGTCAGCCTGCCAAGGTCTGGATCTTGGCTCTACCATTTCCTAGTGGTGGGCTTTGACCCTGTGCCTCAGTTTCTCGATCTGTAAAGTGGGAGTAATAAAAATAAGACTTTCCGTGTGTGGCTGTCAGCACTTAAGCAGCGAGTGAAAACAAAGCCGGCAGAACTGTGGGAAGCTCTATGCTCCACGAGGGTGGGGTGGGGATTATTTTTACTGGGGGCCTCCACACAAAAGGAGTCTGAACCTATGCGGCCAGACACCAAGTACAAAGACACCCGGCAGCGGCCACTGTCTCACCAGCCCCCATCATCATCATCTTTCCGGAGAAGTCAGGGGACGCGGTGCTGCAGAGCCTGGGCAGTGATTTGCCCCAAGGAAAGGTGACCAGATCGTCCCGCTTTGGGCGGGACAGCCCCGCTTTTCATCAATTTCCCCCGCCTCCGGCAGCGTTTTTTAAAAAAAAAGTCACGATTTTTTAAAAAACCTTTCCAAAACGCGGGACACTCCCGCCCAAAGCGGGACGATCTGGTCACCTTACCAAGGGAGAAGCCCTCTCCGGGGCCTCACCTCCCCCCTCCCGCTACCGTCTCGCCCCTGCAGGGTACGCCCCGCACTGCCTGCCCCCCGCCAGCTACGATGTGGACCAGAAGCCGGGCCTGGAGCTGGCGCCGGTGGAGCCTCCGTACCCGCCGGCGGCGGCGGCGCCGGAGGAGTACAGCGACCCCGAGAGCCCGCAGTCCAGCCTGTCGGCGCGCTACTTCCGCGGGGAGGCGGCCGTGACCGACAGCTACTCCATGGACGCCTTCTTCATCTCGGACGGGCGCTCGCGGCGGCGGCGGGGCGGGGCGGGCGGGGACGCGGGGGGCCTGGGGGACGCCGCCGCCGCGGGCTCCGGGGGGCGCGCGGGCCGCGCTGGGGGGGCGCCGGCGGGCGGCGGCGGCGGCGGGCACCGGCACGCGTGCGCCGAGTGCGGCAAGACGTACGCCACGTCCTCGAACCTGAGCCGCCACAAGCAGACGCACCGCAGCCTGGACAGCCAGCAGGCGCGCAAGTGCCCCACGTGCGGCAAGGCCTACGTGTCCATGCCCGCGCTGGCCATGCACGTGCTCACGCACAACCTGCGCCACAAGTGCGGCGTGTGCGGCAAGGCCTTCTCGCGGCCCTGGCTGCTGCAGGGCCACATGCGCTCGCACACGGGCGAGAAGCCCTTCGGCTGCGCGCACTGCGGCAAGGCCTTCGCCGACCGCTCCAACCTGCGCGCGCACATGCAGACGCACTCGGCCTTCAAGCACTACCGCTGCCGCCAGTGCGACAAGAGCTTCGCGCTCAAGTCCTACCTCCACAAGCACTGCGAGGCCGCCTGCGTCAAGGGCGCCGAGCCGCCGCCGCCGCCCCCCGCCGGCCCCGCTTGCTGAGCCCCCGCCCCGCCTCGTCCCCGCGCCCGCCCGGAGCTCGCTCTCCACGGGCCCTGGGACCCCCACCTGTGCCCTCTCCAGCCCCCAGCTGTGTTTCCCTACCCACGACTCTTGTGGGAAACCCCCCCCCCTCCTCCCACCAGCTCATCCGCCCCCTACCCACTCCCACCGCCTCCCACTCCCAGCCCGGAACTTTTCTCTCCAGCCCCAAACCCATCACTGACTCCCGGCATTGTTTCCCCAAGTCATCCTGGCCCACCTAGTCCTTTCTGGCTTCCAAGACTCGGACCTTGACCCCCTGTCCATGCCCTCAAGGCTCCCAACTCAGGCACCAGGTCCGCGCCTCTCCCAGGGCCGGAATTTTTCTCACCCAGACCCTGCACCTTTCCTCTTCGGACGGACGTCCAGATCTTTCCTCCCAGTGCTCAGCAGAGTCCCTGTGGCTATTCCTCTATTGGAGGCCCTAATCTACTAGCAAGAACCACGCCTACCCTTGACTCACCCCTGCCGCCTGCCTGCGGCTTCCCTTCCACACTCCCCATGCGATGTGATGCAGGCCCTGCAGCCTCCAGACCCCATTCAAACCCCAGACCCCATTCAAACCTCTGGCCTCTTTGCTGAGTTTCCTTGCATCCGTCCTGATTCTCTCCATACTCTGGCCTTAAGCCAGCCATTCACATACTACCCCCCCCCCACTCCACCCTCTTGGGCTTCTCACCCCATCCTGTCTCCAGACTTCGGGGTCCCTCTAGCATCTCTCACGAGACCCTCTGAATTCTCCTGACCTGGGGCAGACCTGAGGGGTAGTTCAGGCACCACCCCCTCAAGTAGTCCCCCTCTTACCCCAGGACAGCCCCTCCCCTCCCCAGATTCTCTGAGCACTTTCCCCATCCCTAGGATGGCAGGTACCCTTCCTCATTTGTGTGTGTGTGTGGGGGGGAGGTCTGGGGCACCTCACAAATGCCCTTTCCCCTGCCCGGCTGGGCCTCTCCAGTTATTTATTTGTGTATTTATTTATTTATTTATTATTCTATTTAATCTCTCTTGTCCTCACGCAGGGACGACGGTCTGGCTTCCCCAGCTGGACTGGGGGGAAGGAGGGGTGAGAGACAGGGAGCCAGGCAGGGAGAGGACAGCAAAGGCCATAGAGGGCTGTCCCCCCACACCCTCACCCCATCTTGGGGATTGAGGGAGCAGCCCCACCCTCATCAGAGCCTGAACTCGCTGGGGAAGGGGACACAAAAAACAGGAGGGGGGGGGGGGTTGTGGCCTGCTGACCCTCCCTGAGGGGTGGGAGGGGAGGTGTCAGGAGGTCCGGTCCTGGGGCAGGTCCCCGCCTTCCTGAGCCTCCCACTCCCACCCCCGCTCCAGGACTGCAGAGGGGAGCCTCCTCACTGTTTCCCATTAACTCCTCTTCTCGAGGGACCCCAGGTTCCAGGGACCGACTGAGCCCCGGACCCCGCTGGGGCCTCGGTCTGCTTCGCTCCTCCTCCCGGGAGGAGCGCTCCCTCCCAGCCACATCTATGCAACTCTCCTGGGCAGAGGGGCCGGGGCTGCCACTGCCCCGCCGGCCGCCACTACCTCCCCCGCCGCTCTCGGGCTCGCCCGGGCGAGGATCGAAGCACACACCTCCCCGCTCCGGGCCGGCCCTCTCTGCTTCAAGCACACGCGCTGCCCCACCGCCTGGCGCCACCTCGGGGACAGCAGTCCTGGAGCCTCCAGCCCTCCGCCTCCCCCCCCCCCCCCCCCCCCGGCCACAAGCGGGGGCGGGGGGGGGGGGACCTGGATCAGGGGCGCTTCTCCATGGCTTCTCCCTCCACTCCCGGCCCACCCGGGGAGGGAGGCGGCAGGGATGGGGGAGGGAGAGGGTTCGCAGAAGCAGTTACGGAGGGTGCTGACCCTGTACATAGGAACTTCCGACAGCAATAATTTTCCATGCATGCTAAGCCTTTTGGCCATATTTTGTATGAGCGCTTGGCGCTCCCCCCTCTCTCCTCCTCCTCCTTGTCTCCTGCCCTAGACACCCCCCACCATTCCTTCCTCACCTCCAGCAGTATTACTTGTAACGCAATTCAGGGATATTAAAGGGACTTTGGCCACTCTCCAGCGCCTCCAGACCTTGTGATGGACGGATATGGGGTGGGGAGCGCTCCGGAGAGGGAACAGGGTTTTTTCCACTCCATTTCCTTCCCTGTAGCCTGAGCAGCCAGTGGCTGCCACCAGGGGTCGCACACATCCAGGGGACCCTTGACATACTCAGTCCTAAATATTCCTCAAGTACCGGGGTCACAAATTCAAAAGGGTTCAAGAACCACATTAATAACGTAAGTGAATAAAACAGGCTGCCTTAATACATCGTGGGATGGTGGAGCCTGTGACTAACAGGGAAGAATGTGTCTCAGCTTAAAATGTGTCTCAGCTTAAAGAACTGCAATTCAAATTACACCTCCAAAACAAACCAGGAGCCAGACGTTGTCCCTAGACAGCCAGCTTACACCCCCTACATCCTTCCCCACCACACGCTTTACTGCTCTGGGCAGTTTCTGATCACACAAGCAGCACGTGCATGCGTGCAAAAAAGGTTCAAAATTGCCCAAAAACAGTGAACTGCCCCCAGCGCTCATGAGCTACCGTAGATCATTAAAGGTGTTCGGGGAGATATTGGACAACCCATCCATCTTCTGTGCTGTCTTGGTGATCCTTCAAAACACAAATCTGTCCTTGCCTTACTAAAAACGTCACTGGGGACCTCCAACACCATGTCACTCAATTCCAACCCTCAACACAGACGCCTTGAGAGGCGGGGCCTTGTGTGCTTTGAGGGCTGGATGCCAGGCAAGGGAGTGGGGGCTGAAGGCTGGAACCCCATCTCTCTTGGGGCTATCTTTCCGGTTTCCTCCTTTTGTAGGCAGCACACTCAATGTTAGCCCCTCATCCTGTCTGCCTTTAGGCCCCGGTGCCTGTCCACCCTGCCCTTCACTCACCTCCGGACCGGCAACCACACCCTGCACTGCAGGCTCGGTGTCCCCAGCAATGACAGCGGCGGCGTGGGAACCCCCACACAGTCTCCAATGGGATTTTGAGGGGCCCAGGCACTGCTGCCTTCCTTAGCCAACCACGCACAGTCCTCTGTGGCTACTCCACATGCTCCCGATTGGCTGTTGCATTCAGCGACATCTGCTTCAGGCTCAGGGAGAAGAACCCACGCTGGATCAGCATATTATAAACACCTAATTCCTATGCTAAGCCCCTTTGAAGTGGAAAGTATTTAACGCAGGGAATTGGCTGCTGGCAAACTTGCTGAAGGCCCTCCGCCGGACCCCGAAAATCACCATAGGACTAGCCCAGCAACAAAGCCGCCGTCTCTTCCACAGCCACCTGGGGCCAGTCAGGAGGCTGCCCCTCTGAGTTCAAGAACACAGCGCAGCCGGAACCGGTTTGGCTCAGCGGTAGAGCGTCGGCCTGCAGACTGAAAGGTCCCAGGTTCGATTCTGGTCAAGGGCATGTACATTGGTTGCGGGCACATCCTTGGCAGGGGGTGTGCAAGAGGCAGCTGGTTGATGTTTCTCTCTCATTGACGTTTCTAGCTCTCTATCTCTCTCCCTTCCTCCTCTCTGTAATATATCAATAAAATATATTAAAAAAAAAAAAAAAAAAAAAAAAAGAACACAGCTCAGTAGGTGTGACTCGGGGATCAAGAGGTCTCTGCCAGGGCCCCCGTAACTGGCTGTCCCCCGTCTCCTACCGCCCTGGTGGGTTCACCCTGGGACACGGTTAGAGGAAAACTTGCACCTCCACAACCATCCTGCCCGTAGTAACAGACAAGGCAGTAAGAAAATGGTCCCTGCCCCCTGCTGCCATCCACACCCCACAAAAGCGCACCTAACTCGCAGAACCTGACTCCCTGTCAGTACCCTTGCTACAAGGAAGTCTGAGAAATACAGTTTTTAACTCTCCAACACAATTCACCGAGACAAGGGAGTATCTCCTTACATAGCAGCCAAAATCAACAAAGCTAAAGACTTACCAGAAGGTCAAGCTAACAAAGGAAGTAAATGTATGATGAATTTTAAGTTCTTGCTAGTTATGCATGTGAGAACCAGCTTTTTGTAATAAAATGTCCCAAAGCTACACATTTTAAAAATGACTTAGCACAGCTAAATCAAAGTCTTGGTATATGTTTCTTGTTTAAATGATGAGGATGTTAAATCAAACTATAGGCTGTTTTTAGATTAATGCTCAATTATAGGTACTTCCCATTGAAATAGAAATATTATTCATCGCTCATTTAGTAAATAATTTGGTACGTACGTCAAGGCAAAGTGAACATGAAAGTCACTGCTCTCAAGGAACCCCAATCTGATGAGACCCATAATCTAGTAATTAAAATACAAGGTGGTACATATTATGACGGAATTAGTACAGATTGTTATAGCAGACATATCTCATTGGGAGGAAACGCTGTCCAGGTACAGGGAGCTGGCTCAGCTGCTTAGAACTGCGAATTTAAAAGTGAGTTTAGTCACAACTTGGACCTAAAAAATATTAATGATGCTAGGTATCATCTCAGTGACAGAATTCAGATTTCATACATTCAAAACTTGATTTTAAAAAAGGTGGGAAGTTTCTTCACCCAAGGAGATGCTCAGCAGTCACTGAAGCTGCGGAAGAAAATGACAAACTTTCTGCTCGAAGTAAATACAGGAACTTTGGGGTTTGCAGAGAGGACAAAGAGGAAATGGAGAAGAAAACAGAAAGAATGGCACCAAGCAACATGGCAGGACCCTGTAAGCCAAGCTGTAGAAGTGGTCTTGAGCAATTTGGGGGTGTGAAATTTTAGCGTTCCTTTTGTGGCACAGAAATCCTTTGGTCTCCCCAGAAAAGTCTTTTGCTCATTCAAATGCTTGAGGTACTAGATTCTTTATAAAAAATGAAAGAGAATCCCTGGCCAGGTGGCTCAGTTGGTTGGAGCATCGTCCTGTACACCAAAAGGTTGCGGGTTGGATTCCAGGTCAAGTTCAATCCCCAGTCAGGGTGCATATGGGAGGCAACTGATCAATGTTTTCTCACATTGTTTTCTCTCTCCCCCTTCCTTCCCTTCTCTCTAAAAATAAATTTTAAAAATAAAATTAAAGAGAAGGGGCGGGGCAGGTGCCCCAGGAGAAGGATGGGGAGAACACGTAGTTACCAACAGGGACTCCAGCTGGTTTGGACAAAAAGAGAATGCATTGATGTCCTGCCCCTTATTCCCTTAGTCCAGTGGTCGGCAAACTCCTTAATCAACAGAGCCAAATATCAACAGTACAATTGAAATTTCTTTTGAGAGCCACATTTTTTCAACCTAAACTTCTTCTAATGCCACTTCTTCAAATAGACTTGCCCAGGCCGTGGTATTTTGTGGAAGAGCCACACTCAAGGGGCCAAAGAGCCGCATGTGTCTCGCGAGCTGCAGTGTGCCGACCATGGCCTTAGTCCACCTCTGAGGTCACTATAAGCAGGCAGCTTCATCCTCTGGGTCCTCAGACACTTGCTCAGTTGGAGTACAGGCAGCCTAGAAATGGCAGAGTTAACATCCTCAGGCAACCAACAAGGGACAGGAGTCAGTGAGTGAATGCCCAGCCCCGTGCCCCCTGCCCCTCAGGGACAACGCTGATACAGGATGTGTGCCGTTTCTTCTCAGAGCCCCCAGGGTGAGCCCCAGGTGCCCGCCACGTTAACCTGCTCATCAGTGTGCCCTCTATTGCCACTTCTCCCTTCCCCAGCCCTTCCTGGGATCACCGCCTACAGCAGATGTGTCTTCTAAGATGGTCACAATACTTCCCACCCGCAAGCTCTTTCAGAATCTTGCTACTCTGCCTTTAAGAAATGGAGTCTTGCCCTAGCTGGTTTGGCTCAGTGGATAGAGCGTTGGCCTGTGGACAGAGGGGTCCCGGGTTCGATTCCAGTCAAGGGCACACGCCCGGGTTGTGGGCTCTATCCCCAGTGGGGGGCGTGAAGGAGACAGCCAATCAATGATTCTCTCTCATCACTGATGGTTCTATCTCTCTCTCCTTCTCCTTTCCTCTCTGAAATCAATAAAAATATATTAAAAACAAACAAACAACACTTAAAAAAAAAGAAAAGAAAAGAAAAGGAAGAAAGAAAGAAAGAAAGAAAGAAAGAAAGAAAGAAAGAAAAAGAAATGGAGTCTCTGTCCCTTTCCTTGAACTTGACTCATCACTTGCAAATAGAATGCTGCACAAATGATTCTATATGACCTCCAAGACTTGACTGGGAGAGTCCACGAAGCTCTGCCAGGTCCTCTTGAAGCAGTAGCTCTGGGAAGCCAGCGCCATGCTCTGAGGAAGTCCAGGCCGCATGGAGGCATTCTGGCTGACAGGCAGTGCCCTCTGCCAGGTGCGTAAATGAAGTCCCTTCCAGGTGATTCCAGCCCCAGCTATCACGTCACCTCCCAGCTGATGGCTCCGTAATTGTGGGGCTGAGGTGTGGGTGTCAGTTGTACTTCCAGAAACAAAGTATGATTTAGGTGCTCACAGGGGTTATATTTTAATGGCCTCAGCGTTCTATGGTTTGCAAGAGACTAAGAACCCAACATGAATGATCTTCAACAGTAAAATGGGTGTTACCCAATTCACGGAGCACTTACTATGTGCATCCTCTCAATTCACACTCAGAACAACTTTGAGTGATGGGCAGCATTACCCCACTTTGCAGAGAGTTCAGCAAGTGTCAGTAACTGGCCTGTGCTCCAGCAGTCTTCCCCACCCCCCACCCACCCACACACACAGTGGGTACCGTCCCTACTGAGAGGGTGACTGTGCATTCTCCCTGCAGGTACCCATCAGGGTGAGAAGGGCACCAAACCAGACATGCCTGTCTTCAACCAGATCTGGAACTGTCCCACCTCCTTGCTTCTGCTCAAGCTGACCCGGTGGCTGGAATGGCCTTCACATCTGCCTTCCATCTAGCAATGTCTAGTGCCAGGCACCTTTCCAAACACTTAATGTGTTATCCTCCCTGGCTCTCCCCCTGACAATCCAGGGAAGAAGCTGAGGCACAGAGAAGGGGATTGCCGCCCCCGCCCCCAGGCACCACACCTAGTAGGTGGTGACAGAGCCAGGATTCAAATCCCTGCCATTCGAGTGATTCCAGAGCCTACATTCTAAACCCGTTGTTGGCAAACTGCGGCCCCGCGAGCCACATGAGGCTCTTCCACAAAATACCACGTGTGGGCACGCATGTACAGTGCGATTGAAACTTCGTGGCCCGTGCGCAGAAGTTGGTTTTCAGCCTGGGCAAGTCTATTTTAAAGAAATGGCGTTCGAACACTCAAGGGGCCAAAGAGCCACAGGTGATTCGAGAGCCGCGGTTTGCCGACCACTTCTTCGCTCCCCCTCTCTAGGACCGAGCCAATTACCAGTCTGAATGGCCCTTGTCCAGGGAGCCTTTCCTGATACTCTCAAACTTAGCTTCTCCTTAAGCATTCGGGTGCTCATGACAAAACCAGTCACCTTCCTTGGTTACTACTATGTACTGATTTCCCCCCCCACCACCACCATCAACCATCAACCATTATCTCTGAGTGTCCCCCATAATCTCCCCACAGCTACTTGACAGAAGAGAAGGCTGAGGGTCAGAAAGGCTAAGCAACTTGCCTGAGAACACACAGCTAGGGATTGGCCAGATTTGCCCTGAACCAGGGCCCATCTGTTCCAAAGCCCTAATGTTGACAAAGATGCTGATGAATACCTGGAATTTAAACCAGGAGCCTCTGCCTACCTCTCTCTGGCCCCAGAGGACATTCGGTGCTGACCATGGGCACAAGGGCACAGAGGGCTTTCCACAGGAGAGTGGGGCTGGACCTAAGTCATTCTCATCGTCCTCTGAAGGCTCGGTGGCCACATCTGACAGCAGGTGTTTGTGGTCACAGAGCCCAGTGTCCTAGGCTCAGACGACCTGACCTTCATTTCCACCGGCTGTGCCTTGGACAAGCTGCTCAGTAACCACCAGCGGTGGTGTCAGGGTGAGACGAGACAGTGTGGAACTTTGGGGCAGTGCGCACACAGTGTCAGCCGATTCCAGAAGGCTCCAGGTCACAGTCACTTCTGCTGAAGGGAGGCAGCCAGCAGTGGAGTAGAGAGCGCCCCCTAGAGCCAGCCTGTCTGGGTTTGAGCCCTACTTCAGCCACTTCCTAGACGAGTCACTGTGCCTCAGTTTTCCCATCTGTAAAAAGGGAGTAACAGCCAAAACCGGTTTGGTTTAGTGGACAGAGTGGCGGACTGAAAGGTCCCGGGTTCGATTCCCATCAAGGGCATGTGCCTTGGTTGCGGGCACATCCCCAGTAGGGGGCGTGCAAGAGGCAGTTGATCTATGTTTCTAGCTGTCTGTCCCTCTCTCTTTCTCTCTGTGAAAAATCAATAAAATTATATATATATATATATATATATATATATATATATATATGCTGTATATTTTAAGGGAATAATAATCATACCTCCCTTGCAGCATAGTTTTGAGGTTTAGTAAGTTGTTATTACACATGCAAAGTGCTTAGAACAGTGTCAGACACAGCACCAGATCCGTAATTTTACTGTTGTCCGTATTATTATCACTCGAGGGTTATGGGGTTCCGACCGCCAGATGGCCCAGGACTGTGGGTTTTGCCAACTCATCCTGATCCCACAGGTCCGGCCACCACTCCCCCCTTCCTCTGGTCCCCGCCCCGGACCCCGCAGGCCTGAGTCACTGAGTCCCCGCGGCTGTGACTCACCGCGCCCTCCCGCCCCGCGACCTGCAGACTCACCCTGAGTCAGGCCGCCGGGGCGCTCCCACTCCCGGGGCTCCGACGGGCGCAGGGGTGCCGGCGAGGCGCCCCCCGCGGAGAGCCAGACCCCGAAGGTCCCGCGGCGCCCCGCGAGCCGAGCCCAAGTCGGGTTTGGGGACACCAGGATGGGGCCGGACCACCGAGGGGCCGGGGGAGAAAGGCGCCCTGGCCCGGGCCCCCCTCCCGCCCGCAGGAATGGTACGGCCCGGGCCGAGTGAAAAGTCCGGAGGGGGAGGCGGCCGGCGAGGCCGCCGGTGCGATGGGGCTGCGGGCGGGCGGAGCGCTGGGGAGGGCTGGGCCGGGCCGGGGGGCGCCCGGAGGACCCGCGCCCGGCGGCGGCGAAGGCGCGCAGGGCGGCAGCATCCACTCGGGCTGCATCGCCGCGGTGCACAACGTGCCGCTGAGGGTGCTCATCCGGCCGCTGCCGTCCGTGCTGGACCCGGCCAAGGTGCAGAGCCTGGTGGACACGATCCGGGTGAGGCCCCGGGGGGGACACCGGCCGGAGGGAGGGCGCCGGAGGGGGCAGGTCGCCCTGGACGCTAGAGGGGGCTGGTTCCTGGCTCCTTCCGGTCACTGCGTTTGCTGTGTGTCCTTGAGCAACTGGCTGGGCCTCCCTGAGCCTCTCTCCTCCTAAAGTAACGATCGCCCACAGGGAGCACTTTGCAGGGGCCCAGGAGTAGCTTTAAGAGCCTTAGCTGCTTCTTGCCAGCAGAATGCGGTAGATACTTCTGTTGTTCCTTTTACAGATGAGGAAACTGAGGCACGGGAGGATTTTTTTTTTTTTAAAGCAACTTTTTCAAGGTCAGAGCCTGGTCACCACACTATCTATTTCCTTAAGCTGAGTTATTTCTCCATGAAGCACTTCTGTCCATCCGAGATTATATTATATAGTCATTTGTGGGTGTTTTGTTGTCTGTCTGTTCCACCTCCTGCGAAGGCCACAAGGGCAGGGACCATTCCCAGCCGGGTGCCTGGCTGTGGATGAAGGACTAGTCCCGCAAGCTGTCTGTCACCCTGGGCCTTTCCACAGGCTTTTTACCCTGCCAGGGAAACTCTTCCATCTCCTCTTTATCATTTCTAAGTCCTCCATCTTCCTGTCTCAGGGTCAGTGTCTTCCCTGACAGTCCCTGCTGGGTTAGAGGCCCCCTGCGCCCGAGCCACCTGCATGCCCGCCCGCAGAGCTCTGGTCCCACTGGGTTTGAACGGGCTGTTTAGACACCTGTCTTCCCCGTGAGAACCATATGCTCGGGGAGGGCGAGAGCCAGACCTGTCTTTGCTCACCAGAGGCACTTTCTATGATGGCTACTATAGCAGAGCACCAGGAACTTAGTGGCTTAAAGCAATACAGATTTGTTATTCTACAGTGAGAAGTCCAAAATGGGTTTCACTGGGCTAAAATCAAGGTAGCAGCAGGGCTGCAGTCCTTCCTGGAGGGTCTAGGGGAGAATCCATCTCCTTGCCTTTCCCGGCTTTCTTTTTTTTTTTTTTTTTTTAATATATTTTATTGATTTTTTACAGAGAAGAAGGGAGAAGGATAGAGAGCTAGAAACATCGATGAGAGAGAATCATCAATCAGCTGCCTCTTGCACACCCCCTACCGGGGATGTGCCCGCAACCAAGGTATTATACATGCTCTTGACTGGAATTGAACCTGGGACCTTTCAGTCCGCAGACCGACGCTCTATCCACTGAGCCAAACCGGTTCCGGCCTTTCCCAGCTTTTAGAGGCCACCACACTCCCTGGCTCATGGCATCGTTGCTCCATCTTCAAAGCTAGCAATTTCAGACCTCTTCTGCCAGAATAATCTCCCGTGTCAACATCCCTAATTGCATCTGCCAAGACCCTTAGGCCATATCAGGTAGCATATTCACAGGCTCCCGGGATTAGGATGTGGACACCCTGGGGAGCTGTGATTCTGCCCATCCACCCCCCATCATGCCCCGGCCACCCGGCGTGCCTGCCCCTCCTGAGGGCTCCAGTGCCAGGCAGGCTGTGCTTTGCGCTCTGCATCAGCCTCTCTGCTTTCAGCGGCAGCCCCATCGGGGGTCTTACTCCCCTTGTACCAATTAGGAACAGTGCTCAGCTGCTCTTTGGAGGAGCTGAGATCCAAATTCAGGTTTGCCTAGATCTAGAGCCCTCGCTTGTAGTTGCTCATAAGTTACTGCTTACTGATCATTTCTGGAATAAAAGGATAAATGAATCCATCAAAGCAGCATAACAAGAGAACCCATGGGCCAGTGGCAGGAGGCCTCCCAGGCAGCTCACACTTATTAATGGGGCCTCCCCAACCTGCTCTGCCCCCCACCCAGCCCTGCCTCAGGCCTTCCCCTCTTAGAGGACCCCCTGACCTTCAGCTGGCCGCAGATCCGTAACAGGAAGTCTGGTTGGCTTCTTCTCTTTCTCTCCTCACATTCACCCCTTCTGCCAGTTCCCTCAGATCTGCCCCTAAACATGTCCCAAACTTGTCTGCCTCCTCCTTCCCCCCCCCCCCCCCCCTCACCCAGGGGTCCTGGCCAGGTAGCTCAGTTGCTTGGAGCTTTGTCCTGATGTGCCAAGGTTTTGGGTTCACTCCCTGGTCAGGGCACATTCAAGAGTTGACCAATGGCCCTAACCAGTTTGGCTCAGTAAATAGAGTGTCGGCCTTAGGATTCAAGGGTCCCAGGTTCGATTCCAGCCAAGGGCATGTACTTTGGTTGTGGGCACATCCCCAGTGGGAGGTGTGCAGGAGGCAGTTGATTGATGTTTCACTCTTATTGATATTTCTGGCTCTCTGTTTCTCTCTCTTCCTCTCTGTAAGAAAATCAATAAAATATATTTAAAAAGAAAATAAAAAGAATTGACCAATGAATGGATAAATGAGATGAATGGAATAGCAAATCTATTTCTCTCTCTCTCTCTCTCTTCTCTCTCTCGCACGCGCACTTTAAAAAATAAAATAAAATTCTCCAGGGCCTACCCATTGCTCTTGGAAACAAGCCTGCGTGGTGGCTTCTGCTGATTTTTCTGGCCTCTTCTACTCCTCAGGCCCCCATGCATTTACTCTGGTCAGCTGGCCATACTGCCATTCCTCCATACAGTGACCTTGTTCTGGGCTTTGGCACCTGCTGTTTCCTCTGCCTGGAATGGTCTTCCCTCACATTTTTTACTGAGCGCTTTCCGTGTGCCAAGCATTGTTCGGAGTGCTTTATGTTAACTCATGTAACCCAACAGCTCTGTGAGATGAGTATGTTTTCTTCATCTCCGTTTGGTAGGCAGGGCAACTTAGGCACAAAGAGGGTAGAGGCCAAGGTCATATAGCAGGTAAGTAGGAGATTTGAACCTGGAAATCAGGCTCTTATTCTAAACTATCCCACTTCTCTGTCTTTCCAAGTGGACTTCTCTCTGTTCAGTTCTCTGCTCCATTGTCACCTCAGAGAGGCCTTGTGGGCCCCCATCCCTGTCATGTCCACCTATATGACTGCGTTCATAGCATTTATCCCTCTAACACACATGTGTCAAACACAAGGCCCGCGGGCCAAATCCGTCCCGCCAGGCCTTGCAATGTGGCCCGCACCGCGCTGTCATCACTGCACTCCGCTGCGTTTCCATCACAATGACAGTTTATGATTGTTCAGTAAACCATTCGGCCCGCGATTTAGGCTGGATTTTAGATTTTGGCCCCTTCTCTGATTGAGTTCGACACCCCTACTCTAACATGCCTTCATTTCAGCTGTCCCAGGAGACAGACCCATGAAGGCAAGTGCTGTGTCTGTCTCTCTCTGGCTGTACCTCATAATCTGGAACAGTATCACGTAGATATATAATGTGTTTGTACGTATATGTAGGTATATATGCATGTGGTGTGTTGATAAATGTTTAACAATCAGATTTCTAGGGAGGAAAAACCCTGATTTGTAGTATCTGCCCATTTCCCTGGTGTAAATACTCTCACCATGGCTGAATTTCAAGTTACTAAGGTGATGTCAACCAACACACAAACTTCCTGCATATTTGACAGTTTCTCACAAGCTAGCATGAACTAGTGTGCACACCCTATAGGAACTCAACACAGGTTAACAAGGTCTGCCTTGCCAACGGTCAATCATTGTTCCATGTTCATTCGCCCCGCACCCCTTTCTCCCCAGGAGGACCCGGACAGCGTCCCCCCCATCGATGTCCTCTGGATCAAAGGAGCCCAGGGCGGTGACTACTTCTACTCCTTCGGGGGCTGCCACCGTTACGCAGCGTACCAGCAGCTACAGCGAGAGACCATCCCCGCCAAGCTAGTCCAGTCCACCATCTCGGACCTGAGGGTGTACCTGGGTTCTTCCACGCCGGACTTGCAATAGCAGGCTCTTAGGTACCTGCCACACGCCTGGAAGCCCAGAAGAAGAAATACCCGGTTTCCGGTGGGCTGGGCTGCCAGAAGGTGCAGCAGGGGAGCATTCTCTGTGCGCCAGGAGGGAGGAGGGTCTGACTCTAAGCACCCTCTTTGCTAGCTACAAGACCTTGGACTCGCTCCTGAGTGGCATGGGACCCGGGTCCCACCGCTGTGAACATGGGTCATGTCTTCGCTTCTGAGGGATTATTAAGAGGATGGAATGAGAAAGGAGAAGGGCTTGGAGAACCACATGTGGCTGGCTCCACATCCCCAAGGACAAGGGTCCTTCTGCATTTTTGTCTTTGTCTATCCTATTATGTGGAAGACAGTTAGCTGGCAGTAAAGGAAAACCTAGGTTAACAAAGCAATGCTTGTTTTTCCACATAGCATCAATTTTGGAGGCAGATGATTGTATTGCTTTAACAACTCGGCGAAGGAAGGCCACACATCTCGGTGGTGCTTTCAGTCTTTCCCTCGTTGCTTGTGACTTCATGATCCACAGGATGGCTGCTTTACCTCTAGGAATCATGGGTATATTCAGGGAGGAGAGTGGTGGCGGAGAAGGAAGAGCTGAGCCAGCTGGGCCTCTCAACTTCTATCCTAACGTCAGACCTTGTTCAGAGGCCTTTGTCCTGCTCTCTGCCCCGTATAGTTCCACTTAGGTCTCCTGGGCCCAAACTATCTACCGTTGCTACCCCAAGATGCAAAGATAGCTAAGACAGCAGGAAACAGAATTGTCACAATTGAGTACACCAACCATGTCCCATCTCCTGCAACTGGCACACTGCCTCCTAAAGCAGAATCGGAATCCCACTACAAAGAGAGAAGTGAGTGATTGTATCAGCTAGTCTTTGCTGTGTAGCATACCATCCCCAAACTTAGCAGCTAAAGACAAGTCGTTTACTTACCCACAATTCTGTGGGTTGGCAGTTTGGACTGGTGTAATCTGGACAGTTCTGACGTCGCCTAGGGTCATTCCCAGGACTGTTTGCCATCAGCTGTCATCTCAGATGGATCAAGGATAATATAACTCACTTGTCTCTCAGTTGGCGGGCTGCTGGCTGGGTGGCTAGTTCTCTATGTGGCCTCTCCAGCAAGCTAGCTCAAGCTTAATCACCTGACGGCCTCAGGATTCCAAGAGAATGGGGACAGAAGCTGGGAGGCCTCTTGAGTTCTCTGCCCAGAATGGGTATCTCTGCTAAGTTTTTTTGGTCAGAACAAATCATAAGGCTAGCCCAGGTTCAAGGCGTGGGGAAACCAACTATTCCTCTTAGAGAAACTGAAAATAATTTGTGGAGTTTTTCATCTCTCACAAATTATTTGCATAGGCAAAGAGCAGTGTTTCTCTCTCCCTCTCTTGCACACGGCACCTCTGCCCTGGCTGAAGTCACTAAGACATTGTCCTGGGCCTTAAATTTCAGGGAAGAGGTGATAAGACAGGGTGGATTTCTCCCAGGACTGGGCTCACTCTGCTAGGGCCATTTCATTTTCTGTGCTGGTGGGATGGGGTAGGTCAGGTGGGACGTTGCAGAGGGGCTCCTGGGGGGATGGGAAGACGAGGAAGGGTGGAGAGTGAGGCAGGTCTTGCTCTCCCTGCCTGCCTTAGGGAGCTGGTTTGGGCCAACAGATCTTGGTCACTTGGCATTTTCAAGTCTCAGTTTCCCAAGCCCAGTAATGAAGGCAATAGCTTTCCCACCCATCCCCTGTCCCAGGGAAGGATACTAAGATGAGCAATAAAATTTAAAAAGAATGTAGTCCTAAGTGCAGTGTGACAGCCTGGATTGAATCTTGGAACAACAACAACAACAAAAAAGGACATCAGTGGAAACCCTGGAACTCTAAACAAGGCCTGGATGTTAGTTCATAGTAACACGCCAATGTCGATCTCTTCGCTGTGACAAGTTAGTGCCGTGTGAGATGTTGACGCTGGGGTTGGCTGGGAATGCTCAGTTCTATCTTGGCAACTTTTCTGTAAATTGAAAATCATTCCAAAATAAAAGTTTATTTAATAAAAAGAGGAGTGAATTCCTTTAGACCGGTAGTTCAGTTCTCAAACCGGTTTGTTAAAACAGTTTTTAATTCAGTAGGTCTGGGGTGGGACCTGGGAGTATGCTTTCCTAACAAGTTCCCAGGTGCTGCTGCTGCAGCTGTTCAGGGACCACAAGCTGAGAATCACTGATCTTGGGACACCCCCTGTACCCCGACTGCGAGATCTGTGTTCTAGGACCAGCTTGTGCACACACTTCACTGTGACATTGGACAAGTCCTTCCCCGGGGCTTTTTCCAAGCTGTCAAATGGACTGCCTACCCCTAAGGTTGGTAGCAAGGATCAGGAATCTATGGATATGATTTGTAGATGATGCTGCCATGAGGTGCCACCATGTCACGAGAGGAATGAATGATCTTCGCTCATTGACTAGAGTGACAGAATAGCTGCCCCTTCCTGAAAGGGCTTTTTCTTCTGGCAGATAAGATTCAAGCAGGCAACGCTAGGGGCCCTGCCAGGCACTGTTTGGGGAGAGCTGAACAGACTTGGAGTGGACGGAGTTGGTCAAATTCTGAAGGAAGAGGAGGTAGTTGGTCAATTTTGAAGGGTGAAACCTAGTTGCTCAGTGGAGAGAGCTGCACTTCCCTCTTACGCCAGCAGGTGGCGATGCTTTCCGGCCTGGCGGAGCCAGCCAGGCCTCCAGTCGGCAGAGCTATGGGAATGGGGTGGGTGGAAGGGCCTGGCTGAGAGGAGACCCAGGGAAGCAGGGGTTAAGGCATGAATAGGAGACTCAGCTGAGAGTCTGTAGTTCTCCATTGTCCTTATTCTGACCGCTCTTTGCCTTGTGTCCTTGCACACATCACGATGTCTGGGGATGCTGAGCCTGCTGGTCTCAGGCTCAGCAAGGGTGACACCTCCTCCAGGAAGCTTCCCGTTCTCTAGGCTGAGCTACGGGTCTCTTCTGGGCTCCCCTGATCCAACAGTGTGTCCTCTCCCCAGACAAACCACTGCCCTCAGGAACGTGGGTTCAGTGAAAGGCAGTGTGGAGGGACCCGTTAGTCCCCTCCCTGCCCTGGAACCATCCCTCTTCACAGTGGTAGATTTAAATGCTTTTTAAACATCTTACAAGCTGTGTGTGAGTATATTCACCTTTAAATCATTGGGATGTTAAAATGCTGAGTAATTAAATATTTAAATATTGGAGGGAATCTGAAGTCCACCATGAGGCCTAGTGTTGGTTGCATGCTAGGCAGTACTTCTTAGTCTTTTTAGAAGAAGTCATGAAGACAGTTGAGAATACTTGGAAAGCTATGAGCCCTTTCTCCAGGAATACACACACACACAAATACTTGGGGCAATTCCTGGGGCTCCCTGGACTTGATGGCCTCGCCTTCCCCTCCCCCACCCAGGAGACCCTGTAGCCAGTGTTTAGAAGCCTAATCATCTCATAATATGGATGGGAGCACGGAGGCACAGCTGATGGGGTGTGAGTGGATTAATACATGGGAGCTGGTTTTATGGGAGGTGGAGGAAGGTGTTCAGACCCAGCTCTGTCTCTAGTCAGAAAAAAAAAATCTATCAGGATGCAGGGAAAGGGGTTTAAACCCTGCTCTAACTTGGAACAGCCCCCCACCCACACCACACCATTGTCTTCAAGGAATCCCAGGACGCAGGGCTGATAGCTCTCAGCTCCTGCAAAAGGCATCCCACGTCGGGCATCCGGGGTCAAAGCAGGGACCAGGAAGCCCGTGACTCCACTGAGCTTGGCTCAGGGACTGTGTGCTACAGACCACGTTTGCTTCCTGAGTCAGACCCAGTCCTGCCTGTGGCACTTCCATGGAGCAGGAAGGCAGGGAGTGCTCATTACTGAATCTCATCACTATCACCATCACCATCATCACCACCACCATCATCATCACCATCATTATTACCATCATCATCCTCATCATCACCATCATCATCACCACCATCATCATCACCACCACCACCACCATCACCATCACCACCACCACCACTACCATCATCATCACCATCATCACCACCACCATCATCACCATCATTATTACCATCATCATCATCACCATCATCCTCATCATCATCATCACCATCATCCTCATCATCACCATCATTGTCATCATCACCATCATCATCACCATCACCATTATAAGGTTCTCCCTCCTCCCAACTGGTGGGTGGAGTTATGACATTATTGGCATCTGTCACAGAGACATCTCCAAAACATTGAGCCATCAATCAGCATGTGCCAAAGTGTCCTGGAGCCCACCCCTTCCTGTTCTGCCCTGGGTCCAACCCTCTCCTGTTCCTCCCCTTAAAAAGACCCCCAGACCACCGAAACCGGTTTGGCTCAATGGATAGAGCATCGGCTTGGGGGCTGAAGGGTCCCGGGTTCAATTCCGGTCAAGGGCATGTACCTTGGTTGCGGGTATATCCCCAGTAGGGGGTGTGCAAGAGGCAGCTGATCGATGACTCTCTCATAGATGTTTCTAACTCTCTATCTCTCTCCCTTCCTCTCTGTAAAAAAAATCAATAAAATATATATATTTAAAAAAAAAACCCAGACCAGCCACATGCTGCTGATCCTCCATGTCCAGGTGGCAGCCCGGCTGGGTCCATCCCCCTTCCCAACTCCTTCAATTCTGATTTCTCTACCTCAGTAATGAGTCCCGCTCATTGCTGGGGAATAAACTTTTACTTTAAAACTCGTTGGTGGTCAGTTTCCTGCTCCTCAAACCTTACAACCATCATCGTCATCATCACCATCATCGTCATCATCACCATCATCGTCGTCATCACCATCATCATCACCGTCGTCATCACCATCATCATCACCATCATCACCATCATCATCATCACCATTATTATCACCATCATCATCACCATCATCACCACCAATATCATCACCATCATCACCATCACTATCACCATCACCATCACCATCATCATCATCATCACCTCATCATCACCACCACCACCATCATCATCATCACCATCATCGTCATCACTATCACCATCACCATCATCATCTCATTACCACCATCACCACCACCATCATCACCATCACCATCGCTCCATCCTTGACTCCACAGTCTTGAGAGGTGGACAGGTCAGAAGCGACCTTTCCTGCGGGACAGACGTTAAACCGCGGCCTCCAGCGGAGCAGCTACCGGCCTGCGGCGGAGCCCCGGGAGAGCAGCCTGTTCCCGGGCCGCACACGCCGCGCCGCCCCGCCCGCCCGCGGCCCTCCCCGGCCTGACCCCGGCGCCGCCTGACGGATGACCTCAGCTGCCGCCAATCCATTGGTTCCAGCTCCGGGGGGAGCGAGAACAAAGCGCGCTTTGTGGCGGGCCGTCCCCTCGCCCGGCGCGTCCGCCGCCGGGACCCCCTCCGGAACTCGGGGCGACGCCCCCGCCGACAGCCGTGTAATGTCTTCCAGGCCGCGCTCCTTCCCAGCCGCAGCTCCTTCCAGAGCTCCCGGCCGCCCAGTCCCCGGGCCCCCCAGGCGGCGGGATGGGGCGCCCCGCGGGAGGCTGTGCGGCTGCGGGGGGAGCGAGCGCGCAGGGGGAATCCGAGCTCCGGTCCGAGGGGAGCCGGGCAGGTGCGGCCACCTGACGGCCTGGAGCTCAGCTGAGGCTCGGCCGGGGGCTGCCGCAGGTGGAGGGCACTGTCACTGCTGGCGTCCCGGTTGTCTTGGCTGTGACCGTGGCGGCCAGGCTGTGGTGCGGTGGAAGCCAGGGGGACGCTCTCTGAGCAGACCCGGGGTTGAGCCTGGGCTTTGCCACCTGCTGGCTGTGGGCCTTGGCGAGCGCCTCTGGGAACCACAGCCATGAAACCAGCGTTTCCTGAGCACCTGCTGCGCAGACACTAAGTGCTTGCAGGTGAGCTCCTCAGGCCTCCGCCGGGCCTCAGGGGCGGGCGCTGGCATTTCACAGAGGAGGGCGAGGTTCCAGGGTCCTGAGCACAGCCCTCCTCTCCGGGCCTGTAAGACAGACCCCAGCACAGTCACTTCCCGCAGCCTGGTCGCTCTCATTCGTCTCACATCTTTCCGGAGGAGGACACAGGGGCCGGGAGCGGTCCCCGGCTTGCCCAGGGCACCAGCGTGGCTCTGCACCCAGGGCCTCTGTCTTTTGAGGACTCTCTGAGGCTCCTGTGACCATGGCTCCCATCAGGCTTCTAGGGGAGAGAGGAGGAAGAAGAGGAAGAGGAGGAGGAGGAGGAGAAGGAGGAGGAGGGGGAGGAGGAGGAGGAGGAGGAGGAGGAGGAGGAGGAGGCTCAGCCTGCGGCTGGAAACCTTTCCCCTGAGAGGGACGCTTCCCCCTCCTGTTGTGCCTGTTAGGGGTGATGGGTGAGGGCAGGAGGAGAGAGAAGCCATGCCCAGAGAGGGGACCGAGGGGCCACAGAGAGGGCTGGGCAGGGCTGGGAGTGTCTGCCACCCCACCCCGCCCTCCACACGCCCACACACCTCCCTCGATGTTTGCTTTATAAAATGCTACCGGGCATCTCCCGTGTGCCAGGCCCGGTACCAGACACGGGGGCTATCAGAGTATAAAGCAGCTATAACACTCCTATCCTCTTGACATTCACTCAGGGGCGAGAGGCAGGAAACACACGTCCAAAATGCATATAAAATGTAAAGTATGATATCCCGTGATGGGTGCTATAAGGGAAAGAGAGAGAATGAGACAGGAAATACCGATTTCATTAAGGTGGTCGGGCCTCTCTGAGGGGAAAGCATTGATCTGTGCAGAGAGGAAAGAAGCTGCTTAGGTTTTAGAAGGGAGTGTGTTTCGAGCAGA